GCGGCGGTCCCAGGGCTGGCCGGTGCGTCCGCCTCGGGCCAGGATCGGCAGGCATCGCACCGGGAGATCGGGTCGAAGCTGGTGGCGTGATCATCGGCCTCTGAACGATCAGGGCAGGGCCGGGAGAAGGAAGGAGGCGAGGAGGGGAGAGGAGGAGGAAGGAGGCGCGGGGCGCTGCGCCTCTTCGAAGCGAGGACCCAACACCACAGGCTGACCGGGAAAACGAACCTGGCGAACCCCCCTATTGGTGGCACGAAACGTGTGAGAGGTGTGCCGAAGAAGGGGGTGGAACCGCATGCGAACCCTGCCACTGCGGCCTTCGGTCAAATGAGGGCACTGCGGCCACTGCGGCCTTCGGCCCTGGAGCTCCCTATGAGGGCACGATATGTTTGTGGGGTGTGCCGAAATCAGGGTGGAAACGTATGCAAGCCTTACCACTGTGGCCTTCGGTCAAGTCCACCAAGGGGCCACGAAATCTGTTAGGGATGCGCCGAAATGGGTGTGGAACCGCATGCGAACCCTGCCACTGGGACCTTCGGTGGGGCTCCCTCGTGGGCCACGAATCGTGTGAAGGGTGTGCCGCAATGAGAGCGGAACCGCATGCGAACGCTGCCAACGCTCCTTATGGTGTGACGAAGCATGTGAAGGGTGTGCCGACATGAGGGGTGGAACCGCATGCGAACCCCGCCACCGGAGCCTTCGGTGTAGCTCCCTCGGGGGGCCCGAAGCGTGTGAGGGGTGTGCCGAAATGGGAGTGGAATCGCATGCGAACCTTGCCGCTGGGGCCTTCGGTGGAGCTCCCTATGGGACCACGGCGAAGTGCGTGAAGGGTGTGCCGAATCGGTATGCGGAGGGCAGGGGCAAGGATGGTAGGAGGGTGGAGGAGACGGGAGGAGGAAGGAGACGCGGTGCGCTGTCTCTGCTAAACGAAGACCTGACACCGCATGACTGCTGGAAAAACACATCCCATGTTGGACATACCCATCAGTCGGAAGAAGAAGTAGGTAGCAACATGAAATAGGAAGGCGTTGAACATAGATTGGGTTCCGTCCGCACCCTGAGGAGAACGGAAAAGGTGAAGCCACTCGACCATTGAAGTAGGAAGGCACTTAAAGTCAAATTGGAATCTGGAACTCCAGAAATACATACTTTCAATGACCGATGGGTAAATAATTGACAGCTCGCTTTCCCTGAATGGTTGATCCATCGCCACGTCTACACGCCAATCCTTGACGAGAAAAGCCTCGCCCCAAGGCGTGGCCACCGCGATCGCCGCGGCGACCTCCAAAACCGACCCCGCGGTTTGGCTCGGCGGGGCGGGACGTCACGCGTCGAGAATCGGAATGCAATCTGGTTGACCCAGAAGGGGGTCCAGCGAAGAGGGGGTGGTGTAATAGATTTGGCGCAATATATTCGCGGGGTTGCACTAGATTTGGGGTGCGCAATACATTCCAGAGCGTTTATTGCTGGATTTCGCGTGCAATGCATTCGTAGCAATACCATGCAATACCGTTCTTTTCCGCAACACATGTGCACCACACTTGTCCAAAACATATTGCACCACCCCCTTTCACCTGGACCCCCTCACGACGATGTGAGTCGGATCGGGCCGCATCGGCACGAATGAGCATCGTTTAACCGATCCCCATCCCCACCAGCGTGGGCGGGGCCCCACTGGCCGATTTACCCTTCTGATGGGGATATAAGCTGCTCTCTTCGGGTTTCGAGGGGCCTATCCCCAACTGAGGTGGTGAGACGGTGGGGCTCGAGATGTGCATGGGGACGGGGGGAGAGATCGCTTACACGATGCTGAACGGAGTCAGAATCGAGTCGCATCGGCCGCGCCAGGACGCACCGCAGGCGCCAAGCAGGCGCCGGGCCGAACCCGATCGCAGGGACACCGGAGCCGCACCGGAGCGGGCCTGCCCGCACTGGTCCCTCGCGTCGGATCGGAGAGGGGCCCTGCCTCCGGGCAGGCCGTGCGCGCTCCCCGCCCCGAGCTCCGCGCCCTCGCTCTCCTCCCCGCTCCCCCCACGCTCTGTCTTGCGTCGCGGCGCGGCCAGGGGGGTGAACCGCACGCGCGCGCTCTGGGAGGCCGGGAGCGGGCGAACGAGTGCGCGGCGGGCGGGCCGGGGGGGGGGGGGGGGGCGACTACCGCTCTCTCTCTCTCTCTCTCTCTCTCTCTCTCTCCACAGACGCACGCTCGCACGCACGCACGCACGCACGCGCGCACGCACGCACGCACGCACGCTCGCACGCACGCACGCACGCACGCACGCACGCACGCACGCACGCACGCTCGCACGCTCGCACGCACGCACGCACGCACGCACGCACGCACGCACGCGCAAACGCACGCTGCCCTTTCGGGAAGGGAAGCCGCCCACCGCCGCGTTCTGCCCTCCCCCCCCCGCCCAACGGCGCCCTGTCCCGCCCCATCCGCCCCCATCCTGGGCGGAGAGGCGCGCGGGCGAGCGGGGCGTCGAGGGCGAGGCTCTCGAGGGATCGCGGGGCCGAGGCATCGAGGCACCGAGGGGTCGAGGGGTCGAAGGATAGAGGCACCGAGGGGTCGAGGGATCGACGGGTCCAGGTATCGAGGCACCGAGGGGTCGAAGGATCGAGGACCATGGGGCTCGATTCAACCTCGGCCCTCCTGCCACCAAGCTCCGGCTCCTGCACTCCGCTCCCCCTCGTCATCGCTCCGTCCATCGTCCTCCAGCAGCCGTCTCCCTCCTCCTCCTCCTCCTCCTTCCCCTCCTCCTCCTCCTCCTCCTCCTCCTCCTCCTCCTCCTCCTCCTCCTCCTCCTTCCCCTCCTCCTCCTTCTTCCTCCTCCTCCCCCTACCCCCCCTCCTCCTCCTCTCTCCTCCCCTCCTCCCCCCTACCCCTCCTCCTCCTCCTCTCCCCTCCTCCTCCTCCTCCTCCTCCTCCTCCTCCTCCTCCCTCATCCTCCTCCTCCTCCTCCTCCCTCCTCCTCCTCCTCCTCCTCCTCCTCCTCCTCCTCCTCCTCCGCCTCCTCCTCCTCCTCCTCCTCCTCCTCCTCCTCCTCCCCTCCTCCTCCCCCCCCCCCCCCTCCTCCTCCTCCTCCTCCTGCTCCTCCTACTCTCCTCCTCCTCCTCCTCCTCCTCCTCCTCCTCCTCCTCCTCCTCCTCCTCCTCCTCCTCCTCCTGCTCTCTCCTCCTCCTCCTCCTGCCTCCTCCTCCTCCTCCTCCTCCTCCTCCTCCTCCTCTTACCCTCGTCGTTGTGGTCGTGTGCGCCTTCGTCATGGTCCTCCCCCTTCTCGGCCTCCTCATGCGCATCTTCCCCCTTCGCTCCTCCAATCCCCCTCGTCGTTGTCATCGTATGCGCCGTCGTCATGGCCCTCCTTCTTCTCGGCATCCTCATGCTCACCGTCCCCTCGTCGCTGTCCCCCCTCGCGTGCACATCAGAGCGAGGCAAATCAAACCTCTGCAAACCAACCACGTAGTATCAGACAGCTCGTCTCTCGGGCCTCCCACTTTTTCAGCTTGTTGCACACTTCGGCGTGCCTGCACACACACACACACAGTCGTCTGCAGCTCGGCAGACTTCGGACCACAGGGAGACAGACCAGAGCCCGTAGGCCCTGCGAAATGCTTAAGAAATCATGGGTTAAGAAATTCAGAGTCTCAGAATTTGAATAAAAACCCGGAACGTCTATTCAAATCTCAGGATTTACATTGAAACATTAAGAATGACCGAGACTCTGGCCGAAAACTGGGGTTTTCTTAAGCATCGCCTAGAGTGTAGGCTGGATGCAGCCCAGACCACCCCAAAGGGCTCAACAACTTTCAGGCGCGTCGGCACAGCGCAAAAAGGAATGGCGGCGGCCACGAACGTCACAGCAAGGCCTCCCGACAAGGAGGTGCGAGAGATCTCCCCGAACCGGCCCGACCACGCTCGGGGAGCGGCCGGCCCAGGGCCAAGAAGAGGTGGCCCTTTTTCACTGAGGACGGCTCTCCCCGCCCCGATTTCGGTCGGGCATGTCCCCCTACCGGCGGAGTTTGGACGGAGCATGTAAGATACTCAACAAATATTCAAAAGTGGTTCCAAGAAAGCCTCAACAAATCGTCCCCAGGCTATTTCTTACCATTCTCGACTGTTCCTCCTGTAGAGGGACATGCCCGATTTAAACCTTGATCGTGGTCACGCCCATCGTGAAAACCGCACAGTTTCCAGCAAACACTGCCCCGAGCATGCCCCCTCCCAGACCCTTGTCCGACATGGCAAACGGGACACGGCACTGAACAAACACGCGTGAGACGGATCGAGGCAGTGGGGCGGATCCGAACGACGACGCTCGCGTGTCTTGTGTGAGCGACGAGCTCTGATCTCTAGCTTGCTCTGCCCCACTATTGGGCGGCTTAGGTCTCCCCCTACCTCACGAGCATTGCTCCGCCCTCCGTCGCCCCAGAAGCACAAATCGTAGTCGCTGCCCCTCAGCCAGGAAGCGACGTCGTCGCCGTCGTCGTCATCGTCATCGTCGTCGTCGACGTCCTTGCACGTCCGACCCCGAAGCGGCAAGCGCGCGGCTCTCCCACGATGGGAAAGGGCCTCACAACCTCGCCGGCAACACTTTCGCCCATCAAAACAGCGACAGCAAGAGCGGGGCCAATGTGCGACAATAGGGGCATCCGAGATGGGGTCCGAGTAGATGGTGTCGGAAGATCGCGCCGCATCGCCGATACATCGGAGATGCATCGCCGATACATCGGCGATGCGTCGGCGACGTCGGCCATGCATCGGCGACGTCGACGTGAAGCAAATCGGGCCCCGCATCGAGCCGCATCGCCGAGGCATCGGCGATGCGGCGCGATCCTCCGACCCAATCTACTCCAACCCCATCTAGGAAGCCTAGAGACAATGGTGGATGGGCAAAACGGCCTACGGGGAATGATATTGCAACCGGACTCTGGCCTCCAGGCCCGCCGGACCCAACGGAAGACCCCCTCACCTTCGCGGGGAGTGGGCACACGGATGGCAATTCCACGCGTCAAATGCGCTAGAAGGCTCGGCTCACCAGCATATGCTAGAAGATCTACCAGCACAACAATTTCGGACGAATGCTCTTTCGAAAGGCAAATCAGGGTTGCAATCGTGCATGGGCACATTTTCGAGCATCTGGCTTACGATCTGCCCCACGACGCCCCCCCCGACGTAAGACAACGAAGCATTCAAGTGTGCGGTACGGCGACGTCTGGGACTCGCGGTAACCTGCGATGGGCATGACCCGCACGGTGTTTCAATATTGGCCGACAACGAAGTAGCTCGCCTCCACGCGCGCCACAACGGAATGGTAGCAGCATGGAGGCAAGTACTTCCGGAAGGTGGTGGACACATACTGGATCGGAACGTAGAGCATTTGCTGTGGAATCGCCACATCCCGGTGTCAGCTTGGGATTTACGTCGGCTCGACCTTGTTATGCCAGAATAATCGGTGGCTCATGGCGTACCATTGTTATGCGATGTCTGCGTCATGTCACCTACTCCACGTAATGGCAGACCACGTCTAGGGACCGGCAATCAAGGTGGCCGCTTATTAAGTGACGAACAACACAAAAACAACACCACATATCATCAAATTGTGTCGACTGGATTGGGGGATCTTTTCGCATCGGGATCAGAAGTCTACGGGCGATGTAAGAAACAACTTATTTGGTGCGCTCGCTTACGCGCACACCCGCGGAATGCATGCACGGGCGCGGAAAGGTGCCCCTTTAGGTCTCTTGCACCGATGGTGGGAGCTTTTAGGTATTGCATTACAAACAACAATAGCGCATGCCGTCTTACACGACAATGCCGACTTGCAGCAGACGCCGGTGGGAGTGGCGCCTGCGTTGGCCGACTTGGATGTCGTGGAGAGCCCGCTCCGTCCCCCTCCTCCCCATTCCCCTCCTCCTCCTCCTTCTCCTCCTCCTCCTCCTCCTTCTCCTCCTCCTCCTCCTCCTCCACCTCCTTTCGGTCTGCTTAGCAAACATGTTTCCCTTGGTCTCATCACACTCGTGACCGTTTGTCTCGAGCACCGTTGCTGCACTACCTTGATCTGCCTGCCGGGGAACAAAAAACTTCGGAGGGCTCGGGCAGTAATGAACGACGGACAGCGCACAAGCCTTCGCTGCCTTCGGCGTCTTCGCCGCCTTCGGCGTCTTCGCGCCCGACTGCAAGCCTCCCCGACCATCCGCTCGCAGGGCCGAGCGAGGAGAGCGCATCTGGGCAGAAGTGCAAGCTCGACACAGATTCCCCTGCCATCCTCCCGCACGATGTGGGTCTGAGAACTGTGCAAACCCTTCGGGCCCAAGGACAACGAAGGCTTGAGCGGCGCAAGATCGCCTGAGCCGCGTCTCTCGACACCACGCGGCCAGTGCTCCCAGCCGCCAGCGTCGCCCTCGGGGCCGAGCGAGGAGAACGCACCCGGGCGGATCCAAGCTTGACCTCGACCTCTGCAGGCCTCCCAAGCCTGATCGGACAAGAACGGGAAGCGCCGACGCTGTCCATTGGGCTCCAAAGGGAGGGGGGGAAAGCAGAAAAGAACGATGGCGACGACAAGGCGGGGGACGACGAGGATGACAGCATGGATGACGGAGAGGGCAGCGCGGGGAGCATGAGGAAACAAGAAGGACTAGGAGGAAGAGATGCAGGAGGACGAGCCGGAAGAGGAATGAATCGGAAAAGAGGAGGAGGACGACGACGAAGGAGGACAGGAAGGAGTACGAGGAAAAGGGCGAAATGCAAGCTTGGCCCCAAACTCTGCAGGCCACTCAAATCCGCCACCGTGCCTGCGAGGCATGGAGTGCCCTCTGGTCCTTTGTAGTCCTCAGCCTCCAATCCTCAAGATTGAAAATTAAGAGACCCGGACCACAAATTCTCAAATATCCCGGGGCTCCCGGCACGCCTGGGGCGTCTTTCCGCACGACTGAAAAAAGGCCCAACGATGGGCCAAGAGGGTCACGATAGGCCTCTCCGACAGTTCAGGAGGGCTTCGAGTCGCCGAACGATCGGTCCAAAGCACGGTGGCAAGACGGGTCGGAGGCCACTAGATGACGACGCCCGAAATGTGGCCAAAGGATCCCACCGCGTCGCCGATGCATCGGCGACGCCCGGACGCGGGACACCAGGCTCTGAATCGCGGCGCGATGCTGCGCGACCTGCGACCACATCTGCCCCAACCCCTTGGTGGCTTCGAACTCTGGGGAACGGAAAATATCGATACTGCTAGGTCGGGCATGCAACAGGCGGATTGTGGGAGCCAAATTCAAAGATACTCAAAAACAGAAAAACCGTCCCCAGACGATTTCTTTACTATTTTTGAAGTTTCCTCCTGTAGAAGGACGTGCAGGACTTCAGGCTTGGTGGCCCCGGACTCTGCAAGACGGAAAACACCCACACCGAATGTCCACCGGCCTCTCCCAGTGTGTGCCTTCGTGCGCTCCTCGGCTCCCTCGCGGCTCTCCCAGGGTGCCTCCTGATGCCCCTTCAGGGTCGGCGCACCCGGCCGTAAGGTTAGGTCGGGCATGTCCCCCTACAGGCCGATTTTGGACGAAAACGAAGAGTACTTCAACAAAAATACAACATTGTCAGACAGCAGTCGAAAAATCGTCCCCAGACCATCTCTGAACTATTTTTGAACATTTCCCCTGTAGAGGGCTTACTCGCAAGGCCTCCCCAATATTAATACCTGGACAACGCACTTCGGCGCTCAGGGTTGCAACTTTCTGTGCTCGGGCGAACCTGCAGCGGTGCACTGTTTGATGCGACCGCGCTCATCTGTGTCAAAAGACGAAGCTGCAGGTCTGAACGAACGTGCTGTCCGGTCTGAGAGAGCTTTTGCTCGCCCGTCACGAGACCTCGAAAGCACGTGCTGGCATGCCAGCTTGCGTAGGGGCTGAGGCCGTGACCCCGCGCCTCCCCCCCCCCCTCCCTCCGCGGCCGCCCTCTCTTCTCCTTTCTTCCGCAGCTGCATGCGGGCTGACTGGAGACTCCGCAGCCCGGTGCTGCCACTCGCGCGAGCGGATTGCCTCCGCCGCGCCGCGACGGAACGAGTCTACCTTTGGGCGCTTGCCGTTCCAAAGCGCCACATGGGTCAATCATCCCAAATATCACCTCTCAGTAGTGGCCGGGATGTTGTTTCGTCCACCGCGCAGCATCGAATTGCAATTGACATCATCAGCTGACGGATTTTACAATCAAGCTGACGAACAGCACTCGCTTGTATAATAGTTCGGAGGTTAGGGGGTGAGATCGCAGTGGAACGGAGACCCCAAACCGGGAAATCGTTGCGTTTCGTTCGTGTCGTGCGTGCGGGCGAGGCGAAGCTGCGTAGGCGCGCGAGAGGAATGAACCAGCCGCTGCTAGGGCGAAATCAAAACAAATGATGATCCTCCTCCCGCCTGTCCGGCGGTGGCTCGCGGTGTCCCGAGGTGTCCGCCCTTGCTAAGGCGAAATTAAGACAAATTATTCTCCTCCGCCCGCCCGTCTGGCGGTGGCTCGCGGTGTCCCGTGGTGTCAGGTGGTGTCCCGTGGTGTCCTGTGGCGTCCCGTTGAGTGAGATCGATAGTGAGGTCGATGTGGTGCAACGAGGTGTCCCGTGGTGTTCCAAAAAGCGAGATCGATGGTGAGATCAATAATGAGATTGACAGGTGTCCCGTGGTGTCCCGTGGTGTCCCGTGTTGTCCCGTTGAGTGAGATCGATAGTGAGATCGATACTGAGATCGATGTGGTACCCCGAGGTGCCCCGTGGTGTCCCAAAAAGTGAGATCGGCAGTGAGATCTATAGTGAGATCGACAAGTGTCCCGTGGTGTCCCGTGGTGTCCCGTTGAGTGAGATCGATAGTGAGATCGATAGTGAGATCGACAATGAGATCGATGTGATGTCCCGTGGTGTCCCGTGGTGTCCCGTGTTGTCCCGTTGAGTGAGATCGATAGTGAGATCGATGTGGTGCCCCGAGGTGTCCCAAAAAGTGAGATCGGCAGTGAGATCTATAGTGAGATCGACAGGTGTCCCGTGGTGTCACGTGGTGTCCTGTTGAATGAGATCGATAATGAGATCGATACTGAGATCGATGTGATGTCCCGAGGTGTCCCGTGGTGTCCCGTGGTGTCCCGTTGAGTGAGATCGATAGTGAGATCGATTGTGAGATCGATCGCGAGATCGAGAGGTGTCCCGCGGTGTCCCGTGGTGTCCCGTGGTGGCCCATGGTGTCAGGTGGTGTCCCGTTGAGTGAGATCGATAGTGAGATCGATAATGAGATCGATAATGAGGTCGACAAATGCCCCGTGGTGTCCCGTGGTGTCGCGTGGTGTCCCGTTGAGTAAGACCTATCGTGAGATCGATTGAGGCAGATGTTGGTTCCCCCCCTCTCCCCCCCACAACATACTTTTCATCCGAAGGGTGGTCGTATAGGTATGTAGATAGACGCGTCACAGTTCGTTGCTTTACCCTCCGTCTGTTACACTCGACTTTTACATCGTGTGTTGTTTGCCGTTCGTTTTTGATTTCAATCGAACCTGTGTAGAAGTTTATACGAAAAACAAAAGGCGTTCAATTAAGTATGACTCTGAAATGCTCGCTTGACGGTCCTGGACCCCGTGAAGGACCCCAAGAGGCCGCCAGCCCAAAGCATGCGACCCCCCTCGCCCTCCCCCCCCTTGTCGTCCGCCGCGCGATCCTCGCCAGGGGCTCACGTGGAGATCCTTGGCCTCCGCCCTCACAGGCGCGCCCACCACGGAGGGGGGAGGAGGAGGAGGAGGAGGAGGAGGAGGAGGAGGAGGAGGAGGAGGAGGAGGAGGAGGAGGAGGAGGGGGAGGAGGAGGAGGAGGAGGGGGAGGAGGAGGAGGAGGAGGAGGAGTAGGGCCCCCGCTCCGCGCGTGCGCGCCTGCCTGGAGATCCCGCACGCACCCGCCGTCGTGGACAGCTGTCGCTGCCGTCGTCGCCCGTCGTCGTCACCACCCTCGTCGGTCGTCGGCCGCCATCGCCGCCGCGCCTCGTCGTCCGTCGCCGTACGTCGTCGCCGATCGTCGTCGTCGTCGTCGTCGTCGTCGTCGTGGCCACCACCGCCCGTTGTCCTTCGTCGATCGTCGATCGTCGTCTGTCGCCATCTGTCGTCGTCGCCGTCGTTCGCCCATTGTCACTGGTCGTCGATGCCGTCCGTCGTCCGTCGCTCGTCGCCCGTCGCTCGTCGCCCTTCGTCGTGAGCCGCCGCCGTCGTGCGTCGCCTGTCGTCGCTCGTCGTTCTCCGTGGCTCGTCGTCGCAGAGGTGCCCCCCGCCCCCTCGGCTGCACGCAGGAGTGACCTTCGGTACAAGTGACCTTTCGTGTGCGGGGTAAGGGTGATTGACCAACACATTACCCTTGACCCTTTGGGAGGGGACCTAAGGTAAGGGGCCCAAAAACTTTAGGGATAGGGGGGTCTCTTGTGCAGATGTATCAGACCACACCGCCCGGATATCTGTTCCCCTCGTGCAAAGATGGGGACCTAAGTGGGGCCACGTCCTCATCGTGTTATTGGTGTTAGGGGTTCTTCTGTTCTCGGGGAAAGGGGGCGCAGGGTGGCCAAATCCAAGCGCGCAAGCAACCACTATCGCATCGCACTCAGCGATCGGGGGACCCCGGTGAGCCCGCACCAAAGGTCACTCCGGCGAAGGGTCACTCTTTGCGTGCAGTCGAGCCCCCATCCTGGCGACGCGATGAGCGGGAACGTTAGGGGCTCGCCGTCGGGTGCGAAGAGGAGCGGCTGCCACTGGGGGGGAGCGGCTGCGGGGAAACTCACCCCACGGGCGCTCAAGTTCGGTCGGCCCAGAAGAGGTGAACGCGCGATTGGGCGAGGGGGGGAAGTGAGAAGGGGCGGGCCCTCTCAAAGGCTCGGAAGTCCCCCAGCCTCCTGAGAAGCATCCTAAAAGCCTTCCCCGAAGACAGAAAAAACTGCTCAGAAGGCGCGAATGCTTCTGCGAAGCCCCGCCGTCTGCTGAGACGGCCGTCTCCTTCTCGCTGGTTGACCCACAAGGGGGTTCAACTGAAATTGTGTGGTGCAATAGATGTTGGGCAATTGTATTGAAAATGTACTGCGCGGGGGGAATTGATTGCATTGCATTGCAACGAATGCATTCACGCGAAAATCCAAAAAAATACATTTGCGCACCGGGCTGTCTTCCACGCGTCCAATCTGACCCAATGCCCACGATAATAATGTACCCCCCCCTTAAGTAGTTAGAGTTTTTTATCGTCGACCAATAAGAGTTTGGTCGGGGGCGCGGGGGCGCGGAGGCCGAACTTCATAATCACGGGAAAAGTTCGCCATCGAGGTTACTTCCTTCTCATGTTGAGATAACAACATCAAGCGAAGCGAACACGTTTTTTTCAGGATATCTCAAGCGAAACCAATAAATTCGGGAGGCAGGCTCAAACGAAACGATCAATGTTTCTTTCTCTTCCTCCCCGTGGCCCCTGAACTTGTTTATCGCTGTGCTTTATTATCCAAGGAAACCGAGGCAGATGAGCTACCCTACACGAGCAGATGAAAATTCTAATTTTGATTAAGCGTTTACAAATTAAATCTAATAAGTTTTGAACTTTGGATTTTTGCTATCTCCTTCTCCTCTCCTCCTCTTGCTGTTTCTCCTCTTCCTCCTCCTCCTATTCCTCCTCTACCTCCTCTTCTCTTTCTGTAGTTCTATTCATCTCTCTATATTTATTCTCCTCCCCCTGCCCCCCTGAACTTGTTTATCGCTGGAGTTTACTATCCATGGAACTCGTTAACGGGGCCGACGCAAGCGTCAATCCAATTCTACAACAAATAATAAATAAACTCATAGAGATCTACAAGGAATACATAGGAATCTAAAGCAACCCAAAGGAATCGATCGAACTCTATAAGTATCCATATAGAAATCTATAGGGATGTAGAAAAATCCATAGGGATGTCGTTGAGGATGTCTCAACCGAGACAAATCATTGTTGAGGATGTCTAAGAGAGGACCAAAGACCAAGGATTCTCAAGATATCTTTGGCTTTTTCCTCTTGATATCTCTTTATGCTGGCTCTGGCGGGCAACTCTTATTATCCCCCGAAAACCCCGAACTTTATTATCCCTTAGGGTTTATTATCTGCAGCATGGGGTTATTGCAACCCCGCAAACCTATTGCACCAACTCTATTGCCCCACCCTCTTTTCGCTGGACCCTTTTTTGGATCAGCCAAGTCAAATATCGAGGAAAGAACTTCGCCGACCCTCGCATGGATACGTTCTGCGCGGGGTATCCGCGAAAAAACGACCCGTATCCGCGGGGTCGCGGCACAAGGGCCTGGCTCGCGAGGCTGCGGATACGGATATGTTGTTGGCCCACGACCCCTCTCGTTGTGAACCAGAAAACCACCGACGGAATTCTGCTTGACGATTTTCGGCCCCTGAAACCTCTCAACAGGCTTCAGGGGTGTCACAAACCGGCTCAGGAGATCGCCAGGGATCTTACCCAACGGTACTCAAAAATCGAGGAAGGAGCGCATGCATGATTGTTTCAGTCGCCGGGTGGAACGTTGCTGTAATGGAGAGCGGGTCTGGAATGCAAGCGGAGAGCGGAATTGCGTGCAATGACAGGGCACAAACGTGAGAATAGACAGGGGACGGGTTGCGGATGTAGCGGGAACGTATGAGAAATGAGCCACAGTGGGATATTAATCTAGCGTTCCTTTGTCCCTCCTTCCGCTCTCTATGTTCACTCCGTTACGGATCCAGCATCACTACATACTCGAATAATCGTGGATCCGTTTCCACTGAAAACCCAATCCGTACCAATCAATTGTTACAGAACTACCTTTCCAAATTCACTCCCTCCGGCCGCGCTTGGAAACTTGAAGGATGAGAACAAATTACCCAAGTTACGGAATTTGCCTGGCCTATGGACTATCAAGATCATTCCACCGCGAGATGGCATTACCATAAAACACTTGGTGTCTGATGTAGCTACCCGTCGGTCGGAAGAAATGGCTAGACGCATGAAGTAGGAAGGCGTTGAGGGTAGATTGGGTCCCCCCCGCCCTCTGAAAAGGAGGGAAGAGGGAAAACCACTCGATTATTGAAGTAAGAAAACGACTAAAATAGATTGTAATCTCTGGGAATCCGGAAATGCATACTTCAACGACCGCCGGATACTTGGGTGCATGACTGACGATATGATGTCTCAGATCCTAACGCCAGCGCCTGTCAACTCATTATCCTCGCACTCCTACTCACTCTCTCTATCTCCCGCTCCTCGGCTTCCTCATCCTGGAATGTGAACTCACTGGTCAATCTGTCCGCCCAGCTGCCACAGCCCAATCACCCCCGCTACTCCTCCCTCCCTCCGCTCTTCCGCCGCCCTCTACGCTCCGTGCCATGAACGTCCATCTCTGCGCACTCGCCCCTGCCACGACACAAATCCGCATACCTTCCGCCCCCGGCACCATCAGCAAACTCGGGCGTGGCAAGAGACTCCGCCAGAGTTGACAAGCACGCGACAAACGTTCTCGCCGACCTGGGCGGCGGCCACGGGATCTTCTGGGCTCCGGGATGGGACCGAGACAGCGTCGGCGACTTCAAAGGGTGTGGTTTGCAAAGTGGGGCTTGCAACCGGCACCTTGGGGAACATCCTGGGGGGCACCCTGGGGGGCGCGCGGGGGCTTCGATAGAGTTCTCCCTCGCCCCGAGGAGGCCCGACGAGGACAGTATCGTGTCCCCCAGGCCCCAGAGGTGCCGATCGCAAACCACACCCTGGCGTAACCATACCCTGTGTAGTCGCCGACAGTGGCCGACGGACGCGTAGAACTGGGGAGATGAAAAGATACCCACTACCGCCACGGGGTGCGCTCTGACCAAAATTCTCGAGGGCGAATCCGGCGGTGGCGACGAGGGCCTCCCAGGGGGCCCCCAAAAAGAAGGAGAGCGAGGCAAGGGTAGCGGTATGGGTACATTTTCTAGAAGAAGAAGAAGAAGAAGAAAACATGCCAGAAACATCAACTGTTGGGCGCTCCGCGCGGAGCGCCTAAAGTTTATGTTTCTGGCATGTTTTCTTCTTCGAGAATCCAGCGGTGGCGACGAGGGCCTCCCAGGAGGCCCAACATTGCAGACCGAGTCAAGGGTAGCGTTAGGTCGGGCATGTCATCCTACCGGCGGACCCTGGAAGAGAAGCGAGAACGAGTCAAACCATAGATTCGAAAAGAATCAAGACCAGTAGAAACATCGTCCCCAGACTATGTTTGACTCTTCTTGAAGATTCCTCCTGTAGAGGGACATGCCCGACTCCAGGGTAGCGGCAGGGGTACCCTCTTGTTCCTCGCTCTGGGGAGCCGGGGCGAAGGAGGCGAGGCGGGGCCACGCGGCTCTCCTTGGAGCGGTCCACGCCCTGCCTCGCCGGGGGCGGCGCCATCTGCGCGCGCGAGATGATGCCCTCGACGATCTCGACCTTCGCGCTCTCCACCTGGCGGGGCACGCAGGCCACGCCGCAAAGAGAGAGGGGGAGGAAGAGGAGGAGGAGGAGGATGAGGAGGAGGAGAAGCGGTGGTCAGGCGAGAACTACATTTTGAGAACGACCCACCCTCAATTCGTGAAACTCTTGCAAAGATTCAACACGAATGTGCGCAACGCTACGGCGAGCGTCACATTTTGAAAACTACCCGCCCTCAATCCGTGAAACGCATGCATTCTTTAAAGCAAGAAACAAAGAATGTGCTCGGCGCTAATGCGAGAAAAACATGTTGAAAACGACACCGCCCTCAATCCGTGAAGCTGTTTCAAATTTTCAGATCAGCCGGCGTTGACTCCTAATCGATTAGACGAGCCACATCAAGGAATCAGAGGAATCAAGCAAGCTTGGGATCCACAACTCAGCAAGCACGCAAGCGTGCGCGCAAGCGCGCACGCAAGCAGGCATAGGCATAGGCATAGGCATAGGCATAGGCATAGGCATAGGCATAGGCATAGGCATAGGCGTAAGCATAGGAGTTAGGGGGGAGGCATAGGCATAGGCATAACCATAGGCAGTAGGGAGGGGCATAGGAATTAAGGGGGGCAGTGAACCAATTAGAAATGTTTGAGCTAACCAGCCTCGAATGTATCCCTATCCCTAAGATGGGTGAGCAAAAAGCGAGCACAATATCAGGGATAGACCCTCACACATTGAGGGAATCCTTAAGATCGGCATCGAGGTGAGGTGATGTCAAACGTAGGGATAGGGATATGTTTCAAGCTGGTAATGAGCTAGGACTCCTATAGAGCAAGCCTTTTTGGAGAAAAACGAATGTGCGCAGCGCTAAGGCGGGAACTACATGTTGAAAATGAACCGCCCTCAATCCGTGAAACGCTTGCAAAGTTTGAAAGAAAAAACGAATGCGAACGGCGCCAAAGCGAGAAACACATGTTGAAAACCACCCGCCCTCAATCAGTGAAACCCTTGCAGATGTTTAAATCGAAAGTGCGGGGCGCTAAGGCGAGAGCCACCTTTTGAAAACCACTCGCCCTCCATCTGTGAAGCTGTTGCCACTGTTAAAACTTCAGACTCATACATGGTGAGGACGTCTCAGGCGAAACGCCGGGCCCGCCCTAAAGACTGGCCTGGGGGTGCGACAGGGAGAAGTTACTTATGAGAAAAAAGAATGGAGGAGGAGGGGGAGAAGGAAGAGTAGGACGAGGAGGAGAGAGGAGGGGGAGGAGAACTTGGAGGAGGAGGAGGAGGAGGAACAGGAGGACGAACTGGACTGGAGGAGGAGGAGGAGGAGGAGGAGGAGGAATGGGAGGGAGAAGAGAAACAACAAAAAGTGGTTACGAATTTACCTCGGCATACAAACAAGGGAGGCGAGGCGAGCGCGCGTTGGAGCGGCGGGCGAGGGGGGGAGGTGAAAAGGGGCGGTCCTCCTCAGAACGCTCGGAAGTCCCGCAGCCCTCCGAGAAGCATCCTAAAATCCTTCCCCGAAAACAGAAACAACTCCCCAGAAGGCGCGACAACTTCTGCGAAACCCCGCCGCCTTCTGATCTAGACGCCCGAAATGGGTACAGAAAAAAGTGGGCACAGTGCCAAACAACAAGCGTGGTCCCAAACCGACCACGGCCATTCCTGGGAAGGCGGCTGCTTGTCTTCAGAGAACGTCTGCGGCAGCACGGACAGCGGGTTCTGTTCAAAACGAGCATGACCTGCTGTTGGGCATATTTCGGGTCGGGCGAAAGGGGGGGATAGCAAAGGGGGGGTTTGAGAATCAGCTCACGTAGCTGATTTTCCAGGCGCCTCCCGGCGCCGGGAGCGGCCATGTATCGAGGAATTGGCCCTTCGGTGAGGCCGCAACCAGCTGCATGCAGCAAATTTCGTAACCCCCCCTTTCCCAATCCCCCCTTTCGCCCGACCCGAATATTACCCCTTTTTCGGTACCCACTTCGATGGTCCCGCTCTGATTGGCCTTCTCCTTCTCGCCTCCGCCCACCGCTCGCCGCCGAGCGACGTCGGTCCGGCGGGGCCGGCCCCACGTGGGCCACGCCAGGGGAGGGGGGTCGGTGGCGACTCACGGGAGCCTCCCATACCATCTTGTCGGCTCTTGCGAACCGACGCCAGTCGACGATAGTCGACGCTGATCGGCGCCAACTCGATGCTAATGCTAATCGACGCTGGCCGACGCTAAATCGGCGCTAGCTCACTGACTCCCAGGCGCGAGTCGACGCGAAAGGCACAACTGACGGGGTACACTTGGAGGCCCGGAAATGAGCACCAACACCAACACAGGGGTCCGCCACCACCAGGGGAAGACTATCCTGGATGTCGGTGCCGGTGGTAATCCTTCAGCCGCCCAGAACGCCCGACTATTACCGCCATCGCCGAAATTGGGGTCATCTCCCTCGGTGGGTACACGCCGCCGATACTGGTGATGGTGTCAATCCTGAAGTCTCCTGTACGCTTACACCGACAGAGTGAAAACTCCTTGAATTTTCGTCACACCGCTGGCTAGCGGAAGCCGACGGGAGCAAAGCGAGGCGGACGACGACGGAAGGCCGTTGGAAGGCTTGCGGAAGGCAGCGGAAATAAATGACGCCCTGTCCGAACCCCCCTACCCCCCGTAGAAGCCTCACAATGTATGATTCTGCAGTGGGCCGGGCGGGATCCCACCTAACTTACTCCCCTTTTATAAGATTACTTCAGACAGACTAAACCCTACCTATTGAAAATAGGGTAAGCAAATATCACGGGTCGATCATGGATCCCGCCACGCTGGGATCGGTTCGAAGTACGATGGGGCTCCGAAGTTGCAGCGTTCCTGGAATGTCAGGATCGTATTGAGATCATATTGAAATCAGACTTCGGTCATGCTTGGACCTCGCAGCCGTCGCGTGTTCACTTTGGGGCCACCATGCGCGCGCGTGGATCCATCTTGTTCCCACCGCGCCATATCAGCGTCACTCGTGGCACATGTGTTCGGTCATCTTCGAGTCGGCCTGAGACGGTCCAGAATCTATGGCGGGATCGTGTTGGGGTGGCGTCATCCCAGGGTCGTCTGGACGTTACCGTCTGTGGCCTCAGGCCCTCTGTGTACCATTTTGTGGCCATGGGGGCGCCTTGGGATCTCGCGCGCGAGCGTTGAGCACGCGCGCGAGCGACAACTAACTTCGCCGATGAGTGTACACACATATACTTCGTGTTGCGAGTTTCCATGCAAACTTTTGTTGGAGCCAAGTAGGTCGGGCATGTCCTCATACAGGCGGATTTGGGAGGATTAATCAAACATAGTCAATGTATCTACATAAGGAACTAGTCAAAACATCGTCTCCAGACCATGCTTTGATTATTTTTGTATATACTCCTCCGGTAGAGGGGCACGCCCGACTTAACGGCACACCAAGCTCCCCTGACGTGCTACCGAAAGGGGGGCCCTGGCCCCCCAGGAGGCGCCGCGCGGACGGGCGGGGCGAGCCCTGGTCACGGCGGGCTCTCTGGGGGAGAGACCCCTCGCCGCGCCCCCTTCTGCAGGCCAGTATGCCTCCAGTGAGAAATCGGAGCCCAAATCGGAATCCCAAGTCGACTCCAAGCGGAGTCGGATGCCATCGAAATTGCATCGGAGCGGATCGGGGTAGTCGAAACGAGCCTTGGGGGGGAGACCCAGGAGGAGGAGGAGGAGGAGGAGGAGGAGGAAAAGGAGGAGGAGGAGGAGGAGGAGGAGGAGGAAGAGGAGGGCGAGGAGAAGGAGGAGGAGGACGAGAAGGAGTAGGAGCAGGAGGAGGAAAGGGAGAGTACGAGGAGGATGAGGATGAGGATGAGGATGAGGATGAGGATGAGGATGAGGATGAGGATGAGGAGGAGGAGGAGGAGGAGGAGGAGGGGGAGTTCCCCGCGTTCGCCCTCGGCTCCCACATCGAGATCCGGGGGTGCTATCTATATATATATATATATATATACAAACTGCAGTGGCGCTTCGCGCCATGCACCTTGGTCCTTGAAGTTTGGTATGCAGGCGGAATGGCAGGAAGGTCAAGCCGACAATTTAGCGATAACTCCTGGTTGCCTTTTTCCGGCATCGCCGCTATAATGATGTGATTCGTTATCCTTCCTCCATGGTTATTGTTCCTTATGTTCGCCATACCCTGCGCATTCTCCCCATCCTCCTCAGCTCTTTTTTGCGGAGGCTCCTCCTTGAAGAGCCTCTAGGGGCCTCACAAAAGTTGTTTCGAGCTTTCTTAAGGCCTTCTGGAGGCCTCCTGGGCGTATTCTGGGGGCCTCAGGGGGTTTCCTCGGGCCACTCTGCCTCCAACCGCCGTCTCCCTGAACGACCGAATCACGATTTGGAATTCTTCTGAGGGTGTCTTTGGGCCATCTTGGGCCGCCATGGGGCTTTCTGAGGGCCATCTTGGACCCGTGTTGTGCCGTTTTGGGGCTTTCTTGGACTGCCTGGAAGCCCTTTCGGATGGTTGTGGGGCGATTTGGGAACCTCCCAGGCGGCTTCGGACGCCCAGAAGACCGCCGTCTTGGAGCGTCGGGAAGCCGAAAAGAGGAGAACCCCACAATTCACCAAAAACCCACAGAAAATCAATGATTTTTGCCTCGGGGGGCCTTCTTGGGAGTGCTCTTGGAGGCCTCTTTGGGGCCGTCCTGGAGGCCTCTTGGGCCATCTTGAGGTCACGTCGGTCACTCTTGGAGCGCTCTTGTGCTGTCTTGGGGGTCTCTGGGACGTCTCCGATGACCCCCCTGATCGCCCTAAGTGTGCTGGGAAGGCTTGGCAAAACGCCTTGCGAGGCCCGGTGGCCGCTTCAAAGCCCGTCCGGAGGGCCCCAAAGCCCCAGGTCCCGGGAGTCCGGTTTTGGGGATAGGGGGGGGGTGACGGGTTTTCCCCCCGCCCGGGCTTATAAAAATATAGGAAGAGGAATCTCTCTCTATATATATGTATGTATATTTATATGTATGTATGTGTGTATATATATATATATATATATATGTGTGCTTTTGGGAGGGGGGCGCTTTTCGGCCTCGGGGGGCTCTCGACGGGCCCTGGGGCCGCAGAACAGCGACTCGGGGTCCTGGCTGCCCCGATGCGCAACCCACAGCGTGTTGACACGGATCTCGACGCGCAGATTGAAAACGTATGTTTGGCGCGATACGTTCGCCAAAGCGTGGGCATCCACGCTGAGCCAACACGCAGGGCGCCAACACGGACGCTTTGAACGCGGCACGTCTCGCGTCTCAAAACGGGTGTAACTATTAGGACAGCTAAGCTCAGGATGCGAAAGATGAGAAGCTAGCCCTGGGTCGGGGATCTGCTGACCCAGGTCAATCCAAACCCGGGTCAGTCGGGCGTTGCAGGGTCCTGCAAGATCTCGCGGGATCCTGCAGGATCCTGCACGCAAGCCTGGGCCAATGCACCCCTGGCCCTGCAGAGCCCTGCAACATCCGGCGCTCGGGCGGACACTGTCTGCATAGACCCCCGTCTCAAGGCTTCCGACTGGTTGGGCGTGGCTTCATGGGGGGGTCATAAAATGGGGGGGTCAGAAACGGTCCCCTTTCGTGCCCCTTTCGGGCCCCTCCGGACCCCCAGGGGGCTCGTTTAGGTACCGTTTGGGTACCTTTTCGGACCACCCTCGCCACCCCCCCATTTATGACCCCTCCATTACGCAACGCCCAAACTGGGGAAAATGTCCAGACCTCCGGGAGTCCAACGGGGAGCGCGGGTCGGACTCCAACCAGCCGGTCCGAGGCCCCGAAGGCTCTGGGTCGGAGGCCGGGGCCGGTTCTGGTGGATGCCCATTCCAGGAAACCGTCTCGTGTCCTGGGCAAGGCGCAGCGGCGCTCGAGAATCCCTGCGGGTCCTCGAGACTTCCCTGCGCTTCCTGAAAAGAGTTAGCCAGCGTGGGCGCGGGCCCCGAACAGTGGCTCCTTGCAGTCTGTACGGTGCAGCCTGGATGTTGCAATCAATGTGGTACAATCTGGGTGCTGCAATCCATGTGGTGTTGTCAATGTGGTGCGGGGTAATGCAAAGCAGTACACATACAATGCAAAATAGCGCAACGCGATGCAATGCGATTGGAAAGACAAATAATGCAAGGGAATGCAACGGCATGCAAAGGCATGCAATGCGATACAGAGCAATGCAAAGCATTGCACCGCACTGCAATGAACATAACTGGAAATCAATGCTCAGCAATGCGATTGCAGTGCAATGCGATGCGATGCAAAGCAATGCAAAACAATGCAAAGCGATGCTAAGCAATGCAAAACAATGCAAATCAATGCAAAACGATGTACAGCGATGCAACATAATGCAAGTGCAATGCAGTGTTACGCAATGCAGCGCAATGCACAGCAATGCAAAGCAATGCAGTGCGATGCAAACCAATGCAAGTCAGTGCAAAGCAATGCAAATCAACGCAAAGCGATTATGCAACACAATCCGAAGCAATGCAAAACAAATGCTAAGCAAACCGAATCAATACAATGCGATTGCAACACAACGCAATGCGAGTGTAATGCAATGCCATTGCAAAGCAATGCAAAGCAATACAATTTGATAAAAACGCGATGCACTGCGATTGCAATGCAAGACTACGCGGCAACTGGCGGTGTCGAGCCGGGACGACCGCCACCGGGGCCCAACGGCAACGGCGGCGACGGGCGGCGACGGGAGGCGACGAGCCGGCCGGGGCGGCACCAAGGCCCGACATCGACGGCGGCGACGGGCGGCGACGTGTGGCGACGAGCCGGCCAGGGCGGCACCGAGGCCCAATGGCGACGCTAGCGACACGCGGCGACGAGCTGGCCGTGGCGGCACCAGAACTCAGGTATCGTAGAAGATAAAGCTCAGGGGCGGCCAAGAGGGGCACGTCCAAGAGGGGGGGGGGCGCAAATCACGGCCAGCGGCATGTGCGCGGCCCAGCGGTGGGCCAGGGGACGTGCAGGAATAAGAAGAGGGGCCATGAAATCTGCGGAGATATCATGGCCCCCGCCATGATATCCACCCCCCCCTAGTCATCACCTCCCTCTTTGCCGCCCCGAAAAGCAGAATCTCTAAGTGCAAACACTGTTTGGCAAACATACTCTGCTCCTGAAACAACCTTCCGCTTCCTCACGAATTCCGGATGCTTCCTGTAGAAATCCTATATAAGGGATCATTGGGGACTCGCTGAGACATCCCTGAGTACCCACTGAGGACTCACAAAGGAATTTCACCAAGTACTGCTCGGTGCGAAGGGCCGACTCAGCAAAGCCCGCATCTAAAATCGCTGTCATTCCTTAGGGGCAATACTTTACTTCCGCTGACCCTCGCTGGCTTCTGCCAACGGAAACACCCTACGTTTACCTCCGCTGATTCCCGCCGAGGAATACAAGATCAATTATCGATCCCTCGACGGCGAAGCCCTATCTGGAACGCTCCATGTGCAACAGAACAAACTGCTCTGGCAGACCACCGAGCAAGTCTTTTCATCTTCGCCTTGCTCAGCTTCGCCTTCAGCTGGGGTGGCGCCCTTGGGGAAGCATTCGGATACCTTCTTCTCGTGGAAAGCCTTGCGAGCGCGTCGGAGCTTCCCGGGACTGTCCAAGACTCTCTGAGTCCTAGCCATAAAACTCATCCAGCATGTAAATACACACGCTTAAACACTGTAACGGTAACGAGACTTGCTTCTGGATAAGGTCGAAAATGATAGCTTCAGGGCTGCCTCGACACTTCTGCCTCACAAGCCAGAACGACCTGCCGAATTGCACGTGAGACGCTCCCCAACAATCGTCTTCTATGCATTGCGGGGTGAAGTTGAACAAACGCAACCCTCGGACATACCCGTACGCGGCTGTCCCTGAAAGAAGCACGAGCAAATCCAACCCATGATCATGCAAGCGCCTGCACGTACAAACGCGTGCCAAGCATGCGTATGCGAACGCAGACGCCAACAGAAACGCCATGCCAACCCACACCATGCACAAATACGCGCTGCGCAATCCTGTGCACGACCGAGACCGAATTAGAAACAACTGCAGCAACTACGCGAGTCCGAATTAGAAACGTCAGGTCCGCTTCGTCTTCCTTGTGCCAAACGCATTGCTCGACAAATTATGTTCGACTGGCCGATGGTGTGCAGAGCCATCGATGGGCCTAGCTGAACGGACCAGGTGAAATATAAGACAACGACACTCATGATTGTAATGATCATTGACTTTGACATGAGCCACCTAAGTGGAAATCGGAATCCGCGGAACACGCCTGGAGGTGACTCAACCATACTTTCCCATTGATGCACCTACCAGCCAGGGATGGCTGGTGCTACCTTGATTGCAGAGGCTCTGGGGAAAAGCACGGGCAATGACAAGAGAGTCGAGCCCTATCGCTGGCAAGCGAAGCATCCACGCGTCAACCATGCCAACGCCTCATCGTCCGTCGACCAGATGGGGACATCGGCCGCACGAGGGGGGTTGACAGTGTACGCTGCACGGCCCCAGCTCAAACATCCCCTGGAGTGGTAATCAAGTGAAAGGGGGTAGGACGGCAGCAATCGAATGAGCAGGCAAATGAAAAGCAAGAAGATGCTGCAGTAACACACGAGTGCATAGGATGTGTGGACGATCTACTTCTCCAACATCGGCAAGTGCAAAGGAGACTGATAAGCGTGGGATGTCCTTCGTAAACTCATCCGCCTTCTCCGTCAACCGGAAATTGATGAAGAGGATGCCCTGCGCTGCTTGTAGCCACCGAAGGCTGCCAAGTCAAATCATCTGCTGCAACGCTTCGAACAATACTGTACTAATGCAGGTCGGATGGAACGATCCCGGCGCCATCGTGTGGTGGAAGGGGGGACCCGGTTCGACAAAGAGTGTCCCAGCTCATGGCCACCATCGCGCGCTAGTCCGCTTAGGCTTCTTCGATTGTTTGTGCTTAATGTTGCTGACTTCACGCTACACCTCACTGGTGGTGCACACCGTCTGTTCACTTCTCGTGCTTCCTCAATTATGCTCCAACGCGCTTTCAAAGTCCTTGTGGAACTATAAGCCCTAGTTATGTAACCCCCAATCGCACTTGTTCATCCCTGGCCTCAATGTGGGCCCTTCCTGCCATGCTACCTCCTTGCGATTAGTGCGACCAAATGGACAACCAGTCATCCCGTGCACCATATACAGACGGGACTACAGAAGACGTGGCGTATCCTTGTTGCCCTGGAACTTAGTGTCGGGTGGCAAGAACAGGAAGTCGTAAAGCTTGGCGAATTGCTCATTGATCGTGTCGATCACATCTGGCGGGCTAGCTACGAAGCACAAGCACGGTGCAGAGGGGAAGGCACATTGGGGGAGGGCGGCAAGAAGTTCAAGCCGCCCAAGATCTGCACATGACGACGAAACCGACATATCCCCGACTGCATATACGCTGGCCCGCCTCGCTGCGTTCGCGCTCGAGGATTTCTGAGCTCGGCCTGCGAGCTGACATCGCAGAAAGAGGCGCTCTGGACAGCGGCGTGCTCCTCGCTCCTGTGGCTCCTCCACGTGTTCGTCCTGCTGGGGTGGCTTACCATCCTCGTCCCCCCTGTCAGCCTGCACTTGCTCAGATCATCCCCCTGAGCCTCGCCACCCGGCACCAGAGAGCAGCTGGCAGCGCTGGTTCCGCCTACGATTGGGCAAGAACACACCAGTGGTAAAATGAAACAGTGGAAGCGCAAACATAGTACAGCTGGAACTACGATCAATTAGATTATCATTTGAGAAATCGGGGGTAACTTCCCAGACATGTTTTCAAACAAACATGGCCACACGTCTGTTGTTAAGGCTGGAGGGGCGAACATACTCAATAATCTGTGCCAGCTGCCTGGCTTTCTGGCAAGTTGGTCAAGAAAGCGCTGGCCGAGCTTTTCGAGCGGAGGTACCCATCGGTCGGAAGAAGTAGGTAGAACCATGAAGTAGGAAGGCGTTGAAATTATATTGGGTTCCGCCAGCCCCCTAAGGAGGACGAAAGAGGTGAAGCCACTCGATCATTGAAGTAGGAAGGCGCCTAAAATAGCCTGGAAGCAGCAAAACCAAAGATACCTACTTTCAACGACCGATGGGTACCTGAATCAATTGCTCGACGGTGTAACACTTCCGCTTCCTGATGGGGGGGAATGGGGGGGATCCCAGTCCGCCACCGCCCTCGGTCGTTCTCAGTACATTGGCGGCGGCGTTCTCCGAAGCAGCGACGGTGGGGGCAGATCATGACTCGGGTGGTCGACTGGTGGATCGACTACATAACGAATTGATGTTCCCCAACATTGGTGTTTGTTGAAACTAAGAAACAATTCGTCAAGAGTCGGTCTACAAACATGTCACGCACTGCTTGTACATTCGATGAGGAAATCAAGTTTGGGGTAAATCACTTCTGTAGCCGATCCTCAAATCGAGATGGGGCCCCGTCGGGCTGTATCGATGTGCAGTGCACCTGTCGCCTGCAGAGCGTCGGCAAGGCCAAATGCCAAAGCGGGGTCTTACGCAGAGGCCATGGCGGCCCCGCGTGAAATCGGTCACGCAAACTGCCAGCACGACGCGCCGCGTGGAAACTGGAGCTCCTTGCCCTCGTCCTGCGGAGAGCAGCAGAAGAACAATTGTCTACATAAGCATACCAGCAAGCTGGCAACACACGTGGCTGGATTCACATGGGCGATTTCAGAAACCCTGAACCCCCCCAAAACTGTTTCATCTCTTGGAGGCACATCTTTTACTTCCGCCACCTTCCGCCGACCTGCCGCCGGCTTCCGCCGGCGGAGGCGGCCTCGTTTTACTTCCGCCGACCTTCCGCCGCCTTCCGCAGCGGACGAGATGACAAATCCTTCGATACTCGAAGGCAAGGCCATGTTTGGAACGCTCTACGTGTGGAACATTTGGAGGCCACTCCCTGGACACACGTGCTGAAGCCCCCCCCCCTAGAGAAGAAGATGCCTGGCGCTGGAAAGACCTACGGAAACATATGCGTGTCCGGCTCTTGCCCGGGCTGGCCGCACCATGTAAATTGAGGGGCCCAGGGACACAAAAACAAATAGACACACATCTCAGGATTCACCATATTCTCCTACATTTTCTGGGATTCGTCTCCCCCCCACACTTCCCATACTTGCCCATCTGTTCCTGGGAGTCGACGATTGATTGCGTCTGTGTTTCCCCCTTCTAAATTTATCCAGCTTTCTGGTAAACCCTCGAAGCTATACGCGAATTTCTTGGATCGGCGCTCGGCCCCCCTCCTTTGCGCGTGGCGCGCGGAGCGCGCAAAGGAAGGGGGCCCAGCGCCGATCCAGGAAATTCGCGTAGAGCTCCGAAAGTTGTAACTTGCGGTCAGAACACATAATTCGGATGCGCGGCAATGATGCAAGGGCTCTGGAACGCAACGTTGACGTTTTTTCGAACGGGGCTGGATAGCGAACGTTGCCAAGCATGGGCCGAAGGGGCAAGGACGCAAGGATAACCTTGGAACATTGCCTGGCCATACTGAAAGCTTTGACTGCATGCTCCTGCAACTTTTCTTGTTCGAAGCAAGGCGAGGTGGAGACAACGGAAACTCAGAATCGGTCCGCCCAGGTCTGCCGCGCCGCGCCCAGGCCGCGGCGACAAGCCCCCCCCCCCGAAAGGCCAACTGCCGCTGACTCGGCTCGCCCTCCTCTGACCCTCGCCGACCCCCGTGTCCTCCTCCGCCTCTTGACTCTCCCCCCCCCAGACATGCTCGCGAAAACTCGGGTCTGTCCCTGTAAGGGAGGGATGCGCAACAATAGTATAACAACATCAGGGGACTAATGTTTGAACATCTTGATTCATTTCTTGATGTTGTCTGACTATTTTGAATCTCTCGTCCACGCTCCGTCTGTAGGGGGACGCGCCCGACCTTATGCTCGCGTCGTGAACACACTCGCGACGAGAAGTTGGCCGTTTCAGGCCCCCAGGGGCCATCGCTGGGCCGCGGGAGCGTCCACAGAAACGACTCGGGGCGAAACGCTGGCCCCGGGGGAGAGAAAGCGTCGGGGCGCCCAGATGGACCCCGCGCTGAGACTCCTGCCCTGACCAGGAGCAGCGAGAAGGGCTGGCTCAGCGAGGGTGCTCTCGGCGGCTGCTGGGGCGCCTCGGGCCGAGCTGGCGGGTCCCGGGTCGGGCTGGGGGGGGGGCCTCGGGTCCAGCGAAACCGCCCTCGTCCAACGAACCCTTCGGGCAAGCTCCGACCTCGAGGAGGCAACTGCGGGGAGGTCTTCGTTGGAGGGGTTAGGGCGAAGTGAAACACATAGGGGGGCTACTGCGCCGGCTTCGGCCGCGGAGTTAGCGGGATTCCGCGGGACAAAGCGGGACTGAGCGGCAGGGCAAAGTCAGGACTTGACCTCCCAGGAGCCGCGCCCGAGCCCCCTGAGTACAGGCCCGCCGGGAAAGGGCTGCCGGGCCCGGCCTGAGCGCATGCACGTCGGGGGCACGCCCCGCACCATCAGCATGGACTGCCCTGTGCGGAGGGGGGGGCCGAGGCCCACTGCCGTCCCGCGCCGGGCGGCGGGGTCTCGCGCGCGAGCTTCACTGCCCCCCTCCCTCGTGCGTGGAGTCCCGCGCCGTCGCTGGCCGAGGCCCTGGAAGGACGCAAGGAGGGGGGTTCCGGGTTCCAGTTAGGTCGGGCGTGTCCTCCTACACGCGATTCGTGGACGAAAGAGACTCAAACAGGATCAAACATGTAGAAAAAAAACGTCCCCATACTATGTTTGACATCTTTGAATCTTTCTCCTGCAGAGGGACATGCCTGACTTAAGGTTACAGTGAACCCGTATCAGAGGGACGCACGATGAGGATGCAAGCGCAGTGGAAGGCCGCTTCGAGGCTCTTCGAGCAGGGCGCGGCCCACGAGAGTGGCCAAGGATGGATCGAGGAGGCAAGGATGCAAGGGTTACCCCTGGGAAGATTGCCCCCCTTCTTGCTAGGCGGGGTGACTGTACGTCTTCTTTCGCAGGCCCTGGAGCGCGCCAGCGCTGGGCCATCATCGTCGCGCTGCCCTCCCACGGCATGGTGGCAGGGGTCGCAGGCTCTCCAACGCCTGGAGGCATTCCCCTCCTGGTCACCTGGCACCCCTTGCACGTTCCGCTGCTCCTCAATATGACCACTGCCACTCCTCCTCAACATTGTGAGTACCACTCCTCCTCCTCCTCCTCCTCCTCCTCCTCCTCCTCCTCCTCCTGTTCCTTCTCCTCCTCCTCCTCCTCCTGATCTTCCTCCTCCACTTCCTCCTCCTCGTCCTCCTCCTCTTCCTCTTCCTCTTCCTCCTCCTCCTCCTCCTCCTCCTCCTCCTCCTCCTTGCCATTGCCATTATCACTCAAGGCAGATGTCTTGCCATTGCCAGTCTCCCTAAACAGCAACATCCCGCCACTGTGGGTTTGGGTCCGAAGGTTCCTCTGGCCGCACAGTCGAGATCGCACGACAGCTGGCCCTGAGCCGACTCCACTGAGGACCTCGGGCACGAACCGAGAAGACTCGAGAGACACTGATAGATGGAGCCCTGAGGACGAACGCAAACAGCAGCAAGGCCCTCCGCATGCGCCAACCTTCGAATCCACCGACACTGTCGGCGCGCGTGAGGGGGAGTTCTGGCTCCGTCGCCCCCAGGTGTTCCTCTAGGAGACGACCTCTCGTTCGCTTTGCTGCTCCATTCCCGGATGCCTCTCCCGAGACCCTATGTGGCGCGCCGAGCTCGTCCACTCGAGGCGACTAGAGCCGGGTCGTGGTCGAAGTCGTAAGCCCCTTCTCTTTGATCCCTTCCCCCCCCACCGGGGGAGGAGGAGGAGGAGGAGGAGGAGGAGGAGGAGGAGGAGGAGGAGCAGGAGGAGGAGGAGCAGGAGGAGGAGGAGGAGGAAGAGGAGGAGATCCCTGTATGGGTGGGTCCCGGGGGGGGGGGGATCCCGGATCAGAATACGGTCCCCCCTTCCCTTTTCGGGCCGCCTTCGAGCAAATTCGGCCCTCATTCGGCCATGCGAATCCAGGATGCTCCAGTCGGGTTCTCAGAGGGCCCAGAGTCGCCGAATGAGATTGCTTCAAGATGCCCGAGATGGCTTCCAGACGGCCCGAGACGTCTCCAAGACGCCCCACGAGGCCTCTGAGAGCACTCCCAAGAAGGCCCCAAGAGGCACAACTTATTGAATGTCCGTTGGTTTTTGACATATTTCTGCGTTTCAGCCTTTTCGGCTTCGCGATGCTCCAAAACTGCCCCAGAGGCCCAAGAGATTGGCACAAGATGGCATACGAGGCCGTCAAGAGAGCGCCGAGACGGCCCAAAAGGCTTCCAAGACGGCCCAAGAGGCTTCCAAGATGGCCCAAGGCTACCCCAAGAACGCCCCAAGAGGGCCCCAGAGGGCGAACACGAACCGATATTTCGAGCTCACTGTCCCAAGAGGCTCCCGAGAGGCCTCAAGAGGCTCCCAAGAGGCACCCAAGAGCCCCCAAGAGGCCCCCAAGAGGCCCCCCAAGAAGCCCAAAGACGCTTCCAAGAGGCTCCTAAGAGACTTCCAAGCGGCCTCCGAACTGCATCCAGAGGCCCCCGAAAGGCCCTCCGAAGAGATTCCAAGAAGCATCCATGAGGATTCTGACTCACTATCCAGGCACGGTGGCGGGATGGGCCGCAGGCCACTAGATCCGCCGCACCCTGTCGATTCATCGCAGGGGTGCCTGGCGTGCTGGACCCTTTCGGTTTTGGTTTTGGTTCTTTTTCCAAAAGAGCTCCCCCTGGGCCCCTGGCGCTTCGGCCCGTCCCGCCGGGGTCCCGGGAGGATTGCCCAGGACCCCAACGTGCACAACAAATCCTCCCCCAAACGGCCGTTTCGCTCGGGACATCCTCAACAAATCGCGAAGATGGCCCAAGATTGCCTCCAAGTCCGCCCAAGATGGTCCAAGACGGCCTCCAAGACGGCCCAAGAGAGTCCAAGACGGCCCAAGAGGCCCTCCAGAGGCCTCCCAGACGGCCCAAGAGGCCTCCAATAGGTCCTCCAGGAGGGCCCGAAGAGGCCGAAATCATTTATTTTCCTTAGGTTTTTGCAGGAGTTTGGAATTTGCTTCTTCTCGGCATTCCGACGGCTCAAGACGGCGCGAGAGGCCCCAAAGATCGCCCAAGAGGCCCCAAAGAGGGCCCCATGACGGCCCAAGTGGCCTCCAAGACGGCCCCAAGAGGGCCCCAAGATGGCCCAAGAGGCCTCCAACACGCCCAAGATGGCCTCCAAGACGCCCAAGATGGCCTCCAAGACGGCCCCGAAGCGCCACAAGAGGGTCCCCCGTTGGCCCAGAAAGGCCCCCAGGACGGCTCCCGACGGCGTCAGACGTGCCAGGAACCCACCAAGATGCCCGAAGTTGGCTCGAAGCTGGCCCAAGACGGCCCAAGAGGCCCCCAAGAGGGCCTCCAGGAAGACCAGAAGAGGCCAAACACATGGATGTTCCTGAGGTTTTTGACGGATTTTGACATTTCCTTCTTTTCGGCCTTCCGACGGCCCAAGACGGCCCAAGAGCCGCCAAAGATCGCCGAAAGATCGCCCAAGAGGCCTCCAAGACGGCCAAGATGACCTTCAAGATGCCCACGTGTTCCCCGAAGGCTTTCCAAACCGATTCGGGGAACACATGGTCCGATGGCTTGGCAGGTCTGGCCTCAACGTTCGGCCACATAGGCGCTTCCAAAAAGGCAGGGGGCGGCGGTGATTCGCCGTAGGCGTCTTCGATCCGCCGCCCCCTGTCGATTCATCGCAGGGGTGCCTGGCGTGCTAGATCCTTTCGGTTTTGGTTCTGTTTTTTTCCAGAAGAACTCCCCCTGGGGCTCCGGCGCGTCTCGCCAGGGTCCCGGGAAGGATCTCAAAACCTGGTTGCAAAGGTTTTCCCTGCTCCAGACGGCTCCAAGACGGCCCAAGATAGTTTCCAAGATACAGCCAAGACGGCCAAGATAGCTTCCAAGACGGCTAAGATGGCCCCAAGATGCCTCCAAGACTGCCCAAGATGCACCCAAGACGGCCTGAGATGGTCTCAAGATGGCCCAAAACGGCCCCAGAGGCTCCCAAGAGGCCTCCAAGACGGCACAAGAGGCCTCGGAGAGGTCCTCCAGGAAGGCCCGAAGAGACGAAAATCATTGATTTTCCCTAGGCGTTGACGGATTTTGGCATTTGCGCCTTTTCGACTTTGCGACGGCCCAAGACGGCCCAAAAGGCCACCAAGGTCGCCCTAAGATCGCCCAAGAGGCCTCCAAGATGGCCCCATGACGGCCTCAAGACGGCCCCAAGACGGGCCAAGGGGCCTTTAAGACGCCCAGATGGCCTCTAAGACGGCCCCGAAGCGCCCAACCAAAGAGGGCCCCAAGAGGGCCCAGAGAGGCCCCCAAGCGACGGGGCGGTGTATACGCCCTCGTGGCGCTTGGGCAAGGATGCACGCGGACCACTCCTGGGCCCAGGATTGGCCAGGCCTGGGGCATTGGACACGTGTACAGTGGGGGCCAGTCCATATAAGCAGCCGTCCGCAAGAAACCCAGCCCTGAGACCCCAGGACGTCCATCGATTTTTGGTGTGGGAATGGTACGCTTTCCAGAGCAAAACCCTCGAAACACAAGAAACCCAGGGCACCCTGGAGGCAAGCAGGGTGTTCCTTGGCATGGGTCTCCACTGTAGATCTCGCTGCCGCCTTCGTATAATCGGAAGGACCATTGAGAAGACAAGTGCCGAAAAACCCGGCACGTTATCAGACGCGGTCACAGCCCCAGCTCCACCTGCCAGTCCACCTTCGCATACAGCCAAAGTCATCCCATACCAAACTTGGCAGTGGGAGCGAAGCCCCGCTGGGCCAGAGCTGCGCCTAGACTTACGAGGAGCGCCCAAGGCAGACCCTTCGAGCGTACACAGAGGGCCATGACTCTGTTCCGAAACTCGAAAGGTGAGGTGCAACGTTGGGGGAGACGGGCTCAAGGGGGAACTCTCGACCTGGAACCCGAGGTAGGTACATAGCCGATGCATCGGCGATAGACCGCCGATAGTGGAACCATACGTTCCTGGGCGGGGTGGGCTATCGGGCCCCAGACAGGAACCATGACCCTTCTGCGAAACTCGAGCGGCCCTTGTTCCTACGCTTAGCAACGAACGCTCGTTTAACGCACGCTCCGAGCCTGTTGCGGACGGCAAGATGCTCTTGAGGGAAGTCGAGGGCACCGCCGGAGTGGATGTCGGCATCGGTGGGTACATCATCGGTCCGTACAGCCTCAGATTGCAACCGCGGCTAACAATAATGATCCGCTTGGACAGGCAAAGGCATAGACACTACCAGGACCCAATCTGAGCAATTCCAGAAGACGTGCGCGTATGCCTGAACTGCAAAATGAGAGTGCCCTCTGGCGCAGAAGACGGAACGCATCTCGAGCATCACATGTGTCCGTTCCAGAGCTCTGAAAGGGTGACACGATTTTAGATGATCTTGACTTTTTCGGATTCTCGCTATGGACATGTACTGAGGCACTGCGTCCTGACGCACATGTGCAAGTCCTGGAAACATGGATATGGCATCAAAGATGGCGAACTAAATCTCGAGACTTGGCCAGAAGACCAGGAAACAGGAAACGGGCATGCGAGCAACACATAGCTGGCATCACACTTAGACTCATGACACTGTCAAACATCGAACCGCGCATCAAACGCATGCAAAGCAGAACAAGGCGGGCAGTTGCAACTGCATGATATAGTTCGCACCGGCTGGGATCTGGCTTGCCAGGCTAAGCGGGCGGCGTGGGCATCATGAAGCTTCCCATAGCACCTTGGAAGTCGCGATCGAGGGCTTCTCCCCCCGTGCGCGCGCGTAAACGACCGCAGTCGAGGTGCCACTCCTTCGCTGGCCATGTCTGCGGCTGGCCCCCGCAGAGAAGACCTGCGCACTGAGGGGCCTCTGACACCGCGTGGCTCGTCCAGCCCTGAACGATTGCGGCGTTCCAATACCCAGCGCAGAGCGCTCGGCATCGGCCGATGCTGGGCCGCGCTGGCGGACCTCAAACTCTGCTTTTCGTGGCCGCCGCCGCGCGAGCAGCGGCGCGAACCTGCCGCACGCCCGCGCACGACCACAAGTCAGGGGCCTGCGCCTCCTCCTCCTCCTCCTCCTCCTCCTCCTCCCCCTCCCTCCCTCCCTCCCTCCCTCCCTCCCTCCCTCCCTCCCTCCCTCCCTCCCTCCCTCCTCACTGGCCGCTGCTGCTTGGCCCGCACCAGCCGCGCGAGCCTGAGGAGAGAACGGGCCACCGTGAAAACCGCACAGCTGCTTCTTCCTGTGCTCCGCGCGGGCATGCACGCTGCTGCATGCGAGGCCTCACGCGAGGCCTCCAAGGCACACGGCTGCGGGGAAGAAGTACGGCTGCTGCTGCTGCTGCTGCTGCTCTGTGCCCTCCCGCCTGTACGAGCGTGGGTCTCCCAAGCAGCGAGCCACTGCAATCGGTTAGCGGCAGCGTGGCGAGCCCTCGGCGGACCGCCCAGGTGGACGGCACCGCAGCGGCCACGAGGAGCCGACGGGCGGCAGCGCGGCGAAGCCTCGGCGGATCCCCCCCGCGCGGGCGGCAGCGAGGCGGCCACGGGGTGGCCACGGGCGGCGACGCGGTGAAACCTCGGCGGACGCAAGCAGTCCCCCAGCGCGGGAAGTGAGAGCCTCTGCGTACGTGCAACCACTGGCTTGGGATGACCTTCTAAGGATGCTCAACGGATGGGACCAGACACATGCTACCCCCCGCCGCACTGCTGAGCTATTACGTCGCACTGGTTCAACTGACGACGGGACCTTCGTATGATGCAAGCCGAGTGCCTCCAGGAAGCCGTCCTGACCACACCCCGCGCCGACGACTGAGCTCACACAAAGCACACATTTCGCAACAAGGTTAGAGCACCGCCATCGCTTGAGCACGCCCATGGGGATCGCCAAGTTGAAGATTCCGACCATATTTGATCAGATGTTCAAGTCACAGGCCTGGCGATCCAATGGGGACGAACACTCAAACATATGGCACGCGGGCCAGAAATCTTCGCGCACGCTCCAGTTTCTAAATTCGTATCGGAGGCGGCGCGCGCGCACTGCTGAGAGCATGTCAACTGAGTGCGTGTGTGCGTGTGTGAGTGAGTGAATGTGTGTGTGTGTGTTTGTGTGCGCGTGCGTGCGTGCGTGCGTGCGTGCGTGCGTGCGTGCGTGCGTGCGTGCGTGCGTGCGTGCGTGCGTGCGTACGTACGTGCGTGCGCGTGCGTGCGTGCGTGCGTGCGTGCGCGTGCGTGCGTGCGTGCGTGCGTGCGTGCGTGCGTGCGTGCGTGCGTGCGTGCGTGCGTGCGTGCGTGCGTGCGTGCGTGCGTGCGTGCGTGCGTGCGTGCGTGCGTGCGTGCGTGCGTGCGTGCGTGCGTGCGTGCGTGCGTGCGTGCGTGCGTGCGTGCGTGCGTGCGTGCGTGCGTGCGTGCGTGCGTGCGTGCGTGCGTGCGTGCGTGCGTGCGTGCGTGTGTGTGTGTGTGTGTGTGTGTGTGTGTGTGTGTGTGTGTGTGTGTGTGTGCGTGCGTGCGTGCGTGCGTGCGTGCGTGCGTGCGTGCGTGCGTGCGTGCGTGTGTGTGTGTGTGTGTCCGTTCTCTTCCACCAAAACGTCTCCATCCCCCTCTCAGGATGCCGAGACGCGGTGCGCAGTAGCATGCCGAGTGCTGCCTTGCAGGCTTTCGGCAAAAGGTTTCTAAGCCCCTCGCCCCCTCGCATCGCACGTAGAGCGCATGCACCGCCCCCCCCCCGCCCCCGAAGTCCGCCCCCTCCCGAGGATCCCCGGACCGCCCTGACGTCCCCCTGGGGCCCTCGGAGACTACCCGCGCCTGTAACGACGGCCCGGGAGGGCCACCAAGGCCGCCGGGATGGCCAAGCATTGCCTCATTGGGGGCACCCGTCCGCCCCGAAGAAGCGCCCAGTGGGTCCCAACAAGGGCCTCCAAGAGAGCAACAGGGCCTCGGGAGGCCAAACGCGCTGATTTCCCATTGCCTTTTTACTGTTTCCTCCCCATCCACGCTCTTCGGTCGAATCTCACACCACTTGCAGTCTTCCAAAGCCCAAACGGGACCACAGAAAGCCCAGCCCTACGATGGCACCAAAAGACCCCATAGATGGCCAGAACAGCCCAAGACGGGCCAAGAGGACCCCGAAACTGTGCAAGAAGGACCGAAGACTGCCCCCCAGGAAGAAACGGCAGCCTCAAGACGGCCGCAATAAACCATATTCAAGAGTAGCTCCTCAAGAGTTGGAGACGGGAGGTGTCACATGTGACGACGCGCTCGTCATTCGGCGGTGGGACGCGTCCCGCAGTGGAGAGGCACGCTGGCGTCGTTAGGTCCGGCATATCCTCCTACTGGCGAATTTCGACAGACAAATGGAAAATAGTGAAGGTACCCATCGGTCAGAAGAAGTAGGTAGAAACATGAAGTGGGAAAGTGCTGAACATATATTGGGTTCCGTCCGCCCCTTACGGAGGCCAGGAAAGGTGAAGCCACTCGATCATTGGAAAGGCGTTTCAGGTAGATCGGAACCTGGTAATCCAAACATACCTACGTTAAACGACAGATGGGTATTCAAACATAGCAAGAAAAGCACAACACATCGTGCCCGGCTAATTTTCCTGACTGTTTCTGGCTATGCCTCCTGTAGGGGGACTGAGGGGCAACGATAGGGGGGACTGGCATAGGGGGTGATGCATCGACCTGGAATCGGCGATGCATCGCCGATAGAGCGGCGATAGGCCTGCGATCATGAATGCGCACCGCCCTGGGCAGATTGGGGCCATCGGGCCCCTATCGGCGATCAATGGGCGATTGGGGGTCGATGCATCCCCCTCTATGCCTATCCCCCTTTCTCGTTGCTCCCGGTGGACGTGCCCGACTTCCTGCTGGCGGGGACCCGTGACGGGTGCCCTTCGCACGGGTCGTGCCGCAGCACCGCGGCCCGCCCCCTCGACCCCCTGGGGGCGCGGGCGGCGCCGCGGCCTCCGCCCCCCCACCCCCCCGCGGGCACGCACGAGAGCGCGCCACGGGGGGGGGGGGGGGGCGGACGCCGGGCGCC